ACCTTAGTCCAATGAACAGTGGCCACAAAACGTAGCTGCTAACTGCGCTAACGGCTAACAGATCTAAGCCGGCGTTCTCAAACCTTTTCAGGCCGAGAAACACTTAACCCATTTAACAAACAGTCACCTGGATCTGCCACCTAACCTGAAACTGGCCCCGTGATAACACATCTAAATATAAAATTCAACCTGAAATGAACATATTAGTCTCTTAACTCACATATTGTTGTTTTGTTTGTTCATTCCTGATGAGAAGAGTGGTGCTGTTTGGTAAAAGTGATGGGCCACAACAAAGTCTTGAACATGAAGACCCATCTACTTGGGCATTTTGAGTCATTTACAGATTCTGAAAGTGTGAAGTCTAAACTTTCCAATGACGTCAAAGAAGTGTTATGTGTATAACATTTAGGGCTATTTGTGATTAAGAAGCACAGTTAAAGTAAAATAGACTTGAGTTGCTGTAGAAGAAACAAAAAACAAACAAACATTTTCACCACCTATAAATATAAAAATAATCCAACCAATTTCTATCAATTGTATTTAATTAATTTAATTACATCCTTTTTAATTAAAAATGTTCAAAGGAATTCCACAGCAGCTATCACTTAGTTTCCTCTGATCATATAATATTCCTGGAGTTTTCTTTCCACCGCTTTCTGCAGCTTTTCGTTTATTTTGAGTGACCCGGCTTTAAGCCAGTTTTCCATCATTACTTATAACACAATCCTTTGGTAACCTAGCTGTAGCATCACACTTTCAGCTCACGTCACGGGAAATAAACGCTCGTTCACATGCAGTACCTCGCACCTCGCCCGCGGACCACCAGTGGTCTGGGGACCACAGTTTGAGAAAGACTGATTAGTAGAAAATGTGAACACAACACGAGCAACAGAGACCACAGCTTTAAAACATTGTGAATTCTAAAGTTTTGGGGTCCACCCAAGCGTTTTGCACAGCTAAATGGTTGCCATGGAGATTAAAAGATTCCTCAAACATCCATGAACGAATCAAAGCAACACTCCAAGTATGTTTTTGATAAGGGAGTAACAATATAACATGTAAAGCTCAAAAAAAGTCGGTTTCACTTAACGCCACTACCCCTTTAAAGCATGAATAAACGTATTAATATGTGATTTTAATTGTGTTTGTAATTTAACGAAAGCACCACAATTGCAAAATTGTGATTTCTTTTTCAATATTAGCAGAATATCGACAAAGTTTTGAGCACATCTGTAATGCAGCTACGGTGTTCGACTGGCCAGCAAACCTTCCTAAACCTTTGAGTAATGTACAGAAGATGAGAGACAACAAAGCCAAAAAAAAAAAACATTTCAAATATCAATTTGTCTGGAATGATTATAAACAATATAAGCTTCCTGTTTTGAATTAAATCACTGAACTAGATTAACTTTTGATGATATTCTGATTCACTGAGATGAACTGATTAAAAAAACAAACATCTTACATCATGGTAATACTCCAGCATGCTTTTCAGGACCTTCTTCAAGTTGCTGACCTAGAAAAACAGAAACAGGAGATGGCACTGTGATTTTTTTTAGTTTTAGTCAAAGACAACAAAAACAGAAAGGATGTTCTGCAGCTCTTCAAACGTTACTTTAAGGCGCCAGTTGGCCTCGCTCTCCTCCTTGATCCTGCCAAGCCACGTCTCATTAAACCAAGAGGGGTCTCTGTTAACGAGAACGCAGAGCTGCAGTCACAGTACATCTCTCTGGACATCATAATCCACAGGAAGCAGCAGCAGCAACACAGCCTTTGTTCTTTTAAACACTGTAGCATTCAAGTAAAGATGCTCATTAAAGCTACATGACAAGCTAATAATGAGAAGGGGAGAAAAAAAAGTCAAAGTGTCCTAAAGTGGAACAACAGCTTTGATGTTAGAACATTTTTAAGCTAGCTGCTCAGACGTAGACCAAAAAAAACTTTTTCCTACAAGCCAAGGTCTTGATTCAAATGCATACGTGAATGCCAAGTGAAACGGAGACAGCTCCAAAAGCAGGACGCGGACTACAGCACAGGGCATTCTGGGTAAATACAACTAAAACAAACACAATATTCTAATTCTAGCAGGAGAAATGGCTCGTTGTCTTTTACCAACAACTAAAGAGAAGTCCTACAATCAGTAAAATATGACGCCTCTACATTTTAGTTTACATTTCGTCAAGGAAGAAGTTGTGCTCAGTGTCTTCTTCAGAGAATTATGCATCACATCCTTGAGCAGATCTTGGTGCAGCGCCACCGCAGGTGAGGAGGGGAACAGGTTTTTCAAAAGGTCTGGCTTGTTTGACACAATGTGGTGTGAAAGAGAACCACACCAGCTGAAAATGTAACAAATGTTGCAACTTTGGTTCCCAATTGAACCGAATCTACTGGACTATCAGGTGTGAAAAGACCTTTAATGATTTTGCCGTTAAAATGAGACAAAAACAAAACAAAAAGATAAAACAACAATCTGCATCGGCTAAAATCGAAATCAAGCTTTTAAAATATCAGTGATCGAACAGAAATTGGTTCACTCTTAATTAGAACCATTTTTTACCCAGGCTTGAATAATTATACAAGTGTAAATGTATGTAAAAGAAATTCCATCCCACACTGGGCCAATATTATATGTACATGTTTCAAATATACACATATGATAGTCATTAAAAACATTCTGATAAAGTTCTGATTGAATATTTGACCTTTATTGAGAAATGGTAGACCTCATTTAGAATGGTTGGTTTTCTGGATTTGGTCCAACCTAATTAAAGCTTATTCCATAAATCTTCCATAGGAATGAGGGAAGCTTTGATACAAACTTTGATTGTATCAAAGTTTCAATAATCTAGCTTTCAATTTGAGCAGAGGTTTAAGAATTCAGAGACAGTCATCCATTTGTACTGACAAAGAAGAGGATGCAAACTTCTCAGCAGAACTGTAAATTAGTTGGATTTTTAAAAAGATTTGATTTAAGTTCTTCCTTTACACAAATCAGAAGAGCATAAAGTCTATAAGTATGTAATGCTTACATTCTGTGGAGTACGTGAGCAATGGCCACTCCACTCATTAGATCGTGCTTGTTATCACATGACGGGACCTGAAATGTCTGCAACTGAGAATAAAAACATTAAAATGTTAACATGAGTCGCTTTATATAAACTTAACCATACAGCTGCAAACCAGCTGCTTTGAAATTACTACAACGTCATTTGGGTCCTACAAAATATGAACCAAATCAAACTGTGTATTTTGTTTCAAATACACAGTTTGAAACTAAATTCAGCCAGAAATTACCAGAAAAAAAAAATTAATCTTTGGGGCACATTTGATTACTTTATAACAAACGGAGGCAGAAAGAAAGACAAAACAGAGCAGTTTGCAAAAGCACAAAGAGGTATGAATCTCAAATCCCCAAATACTCAAACGTATTTCTCTTTAAAGCTTAAATATATCAAATTTTATATTAGAACTTCAGTCTGCAACAGAGGTTCAACAAAACAGTAGTTCTTAATGAAAGTGACTCAAACCGGTTCCTTTACATTCATTTTTAATAAAAGATTTTAAAACTCTACTGCAGACTTGCTATTAATACCAAGCCTGGTATTAATAACAATACCAGACTTGGTATTAATAGTCGATTTTGTCAATTAATACCAACTTGTGCTCAGTGTGTCACGTTACTCTTTGGGGAAGAGCCAAACAACAAGTGGGTTTTCTCTGAGCTTTAAAGGAAAGTTTAGCATGTTGGAAGCTTACGCCAAGTCGTTTGGGTTTGTTTGTTTAACAGCTAACTTTGCTTTGGTAAGCAGACCTCTAAGACCATATTGCTCACTTTGTTTACAGCTCGTTAGCTTGACTGAAGAGCACTTAACACCGTTTCCAAGAACTAGTAACTGCTTGTATGTTATCACAGAGAGTAAAACAGAACGTTCTGTTTTACCACAGGAATTAATTTACGTGAATTTGCCGAACACCTGCTGTCACCTGTTAGCCCCGGGGCAGGTTAGCCTCGCTCGGAAACCTCGCTAACTTCAGACTTACCCAGGTCAACAGCGAGTCGCACAGCTTTGCTTTATCCAGACTCATGCTGCCGAGTGGCGTGAAGCGACAGGCCGACTGGACCTTCGCCGGTTCTGTTGCTCAGGAGTTTGTTTCTCCGGTCCTGACACCTTCCACGTCAGGCCTCTGAGCGCTGCCTCCCGTCCGATTCGCGTTTCACTCCCTCCCTCTGTTATCCACGCGAGCTTCCGTATGAGGACCGTTCCCATGGAAACGGCTTGTGCTACGGGGTCAGCGTGTCTGGTCTCAGTAAATGATGGTAATTTGAGAGTGATGCCGTCGGTTCAGTCAGGTTTGAACGCACTAAAAATGAGGTGGATTTAAACGTTATGTCTTATTTTTACCTGCTTAATTTACCGAGATGTTGTCAATTGAAATATAGAAAAAAAAATCTAATGAAAAAGAAAAATAAATAGGAGCTTTCATTAAGACATTTCGGGTTTACTCTATTTTAAAAATGTATTCATACCCCGGAACTTTTCTACATTTTGTCTTAATTTGCAATATTATGATGAAGTAGCCTGCCGCTACTCTTGAGTAAAATTACTGGCTACTTTATCAAATAAAATTTAGGCCCCTAAATCCCTAAATAAAATTTAATTGACGTTTAGAATGTTACAATCCACTGCAAGAAATGGCTGAAGAGAGAGGAGATGCATAAAAGACCGAAAAAACAACCACATTTCTATTCAGTCAGCAAAAAACGAAATTTCAAGAAAATCTGGATGAGATGGGGATGTTAAAAGACAAAAACATACTCTTTTCATATTCAGATACGTTCTTATTGCCAAATCCAGTGTTTAATTCTTTCCATGTTTTTTTAATTCCCTTAAAGCACCACTGGATGGCTCTAGTTGACAGTGGGTTTATACAGCTGCATGTTGCACANATATATGTAGTANTATGGCCGAGGAGGGGNGGCCCGAAAGGGGGGGAGCGTCGTTCACGAGAGTTAAAATAATCTTGTGGATCATTCCTCACAGGTTGACGTGTGGATTTTGTTTATTTTTTTTTTACCTTGTTTCTTTTCGCAGCTGACGGCGCAGCCCAACACGAGCTGCAGCAGCTTGCCCAGCTCCGTCACGTCTCCCAGCTCGCCTATGAGGTTCACGTCTGGTAAATGCTCGTCGGACACCTGCTGACTGAGCACCTGGCCGCGACACACAAAGGTCAAAGGTCACATGTCCAAGCACAGCCATGAACCAAACAGAAGTAGAGACGTAAGGGGGTGGGGGGCGCATCTCAAAGAATCACAACATTGTCAAAAGGTTTTTTTTATTTTTTGCAGTTTTTCAATTTGAAAACATGGCTTACAGCTGATGGAAACTCATTCGTTTATATGGAGTGTAGAGTATTATATAAAACAACAAAAAAAAGTTTTTTTATAGAAATATTACGGCCATGTCAAGTCATGGAGAAGACCGCTGGGACTGACCTTAGTCCAATGAACAGTGGCCACAAAACGTAGCTGCTAACTGCGCTAACGGCTAACAGATCTAAGCCGGCGTTCTCAAACCTTTTCAGGCCGAGAAACACTTAACCCATTTAACAAACAGTCACCTGGATCTGCCACCTAACCTGAAACTGGCCCCGTGATAACACATCTAAATATAAAATTCAACCTGAAATGAACATATTAGTCTCTTAACTCACATATTGTTGTTTTGTTTGTTCATTCCTGATGAGAAGAGTGGTGCTGTTTGGTAAAAGTGATGGGCCACAACAAAGTCTTGAACATGAAGACCCATCTACTTGGGCATTTTGAGTCATTTACAGATTCTGAAAGTGTGAAGTCTAAACTTTCCAATGACGTCAAAGAAGTGTTATGTGTATAACATTTAGGGCTATTTGTGATTAAGAAGCACAGTTAAAGTAAAATAGACTTGAGTTGCTGTAGAAGAAACAAAAAACAAACAAACATTTTCACCACCTATAAATATAAAAATAATCCAACCAATTTCTATCAATTGTATTTAATTAATTTAATTACATCCTTTTTAATTAAAAATGTTCAAAGGAATTCCACAGCAGCTATCACTTAGTTTCCTCTGATCATATAATATTCCTGGAGTTTTCTTTCCACCGCTTTCTGCAGCTTTTCGTTTATTTTGAGTGACCCGGCTTTAAGCCAGTTTTCCATCATTACTTATAACACAATCCTTTGGTAACCTAGCTGTAGCATCACACTTTCAGCTCACGTCACGGGAAATAAACGCTCGTTCACATGCAGTACCTCGCACCTCGCCCGCGGACCACCAGTGGTCTGGGGACCACAGTTTGAGAAAGACTGATTAGTAGAAAATGTGAACACAACACGAGCAACAGAGACCACAGCTTTAAAACATTGTGAATTCTAAAGTTTTGGGGTCCACCCAAGCGTTTTGCACAGCTAAATGGTTGCCATGGAGATTAAAAGATTCCTCAAACATCCATGAACGAATCAAAGCAACACTCCAAGTATGTTTTTGATAAGGGAGTAACAATATAACATGTAAAGCTCAAAAAAAGTCGGTTTCACTTAACGCCACTACCCCTTTAAAGCATGAATAAACGTATTAATATGTGATTTTAATTGTGTTTGTAATTTAACGAAAGCACCACAATTGCAAAATTGTGATTTCTTTTTCAATATTAGCAGAATATCGACAAAGTTTTGAGCACATCTGTAATGCAGCTACGGTGTTCGACTGGCCAGCAAACCTTCCTAAACCTTTGAGTAATGTACAGAAGATGAGAGACAACAAAGCCAAAAAAAAAAACATTTCAAATATCAATTTGTCTGGAATGATTATAAACAATATAAGCTTCCTGTTTTGAATTAAATCACTGAACTAGATTAACTTTTGATGATATTCTGATTCACTGAGATGAACTGATTAAAAAAACAAACATCTTACATCATGGTAATACTCCAGCATGCTTTTCAGGACCTTCTTCAAGTTGCTGACCTAGAAAAACAGAAACAGGAGATGGCACTGTGATTTTTTTTAGTTTTAGTCAAAGACAACAAAAACAGAAAGGATGTTCTGCAGCTCTTCAAACGTTACTTTAAGGCGCCAGTTGGCCTCGCTCTCCTCCTTGATCCTGCCAAGCCACGTCTCATTAAACCAAGAGGGGTCTCTGTTAACGAGAACGCAGAGCTGCAGTCACAGTACATCTCTCTGGACATCATAATCCACAGGAAGCAGCAGCAGCAACACAGCCTTTGTTCTTTTAAACACTGTAGCATTCAAGTAAAGATGCTCATTAAAGCTACATGACAAGCTAATAATGAGAAGGGGAGAAAAAAAAGTCAAAGTGTCCTAAAGTGGAACAACAGCTTTGATGTTAGAACATTTTTAAGCTAGCTGCTCAGACGTAGACCAAAAAAAACTTTTTCCTACAAGCCAAGGTCTTGATTCAAATGCATACGTGAATGCCAAGTGAAACGGAGACAGCTCCAAAAGCAGGACGCGGACTACAGCACAGGGCATTCTGGGTAAATACAACTAAAACAAACACAATATTCTAATTCTAGCAGGAGAAATGGCTCGTTGTCTTTTACCAACAACTAAAGAGAAGTCCTACAATCAGTAAAATATGACGCCTCTACATTTTAGTTTACATTTCGTCAAGGAAGAAGTTGTGCTCAGTGTCTTCTTCAGAGAATTATGCATCACATCCTTGAGCAGATCTTGGTGCAGCGCCACCGCAGGTGAGGAGGGGAACAGGTTTTTCAAAAGGTCTGGCTTGTTTGACACAATGTGGTGTGAAAGAGAACCACACCAGCTGAAAATGTAACAAATGTTGCAACTTTGGTTCCCAATTGAACCGAATCTACTGGACTATCAGGTGTGAAAAGACCTTTAATGATTTTGCCGTTAAAATGAGACAAAAACAAAACAAAAAGATAAAACAACAATCTGCATCGGCTAAAATCGAAATCAAGCTTTTAAAATATCAGTGATCGAACAGAAATTGGTTCACTCTTAATTAGAACCATTTTTTACCCAGGCTTGAATAATTATACAAGTGTAAATGTATGTAAAAGAAATTCCATCCCACACTGGGCCAATATTATATGTACATGTTTCAAATATACACATATGATAGTCATTAAAAACATTCTGATAAAGTTCTGATTGAATATTTGACCTTTATTGAGAAATGGTAGACCTCATTTAGAATGGTTGGTTTTCTGGATTTGGTCCAACCTAATTAAAGCTTATTCCATAAATCTTCCATAGGAATGAGGGAAGCTTTGATACAAACTTTGATTGTATCAAAGTTTCAATAATCTAGCTTTCAATTTGAGCAGAGGTTTAAGAATTCAGAGACAGTCATCCATTTGTACTGACAAAGAAGAGGATGCAAACTTCTCAGCAGAACTGTAAATTAGTTGGATTTTTAAAAAGATTTGATTTAAGTTCTTCCTTTACACAAATCAGAAGAGCATAAAGTCTATAAGTATGTAATGCTTACATTCTGTGGAGTACGTGAGCAATGGCCACTCCACTCATTAGATCGTGCTTGTTATCACATGACGGGACCTGAAATGTCTGCAACTGAGAATAAAAACATTAAAATGTTAACATGAGTCGCTTTATATAAACTTAACCATACAGCTGCAAACCAGCTGCTTTGAAATTACTACAACGTCATTTGGGTCCTACAAAATATGAACCAAATCAAACTGTGTATTTTGTTTCAAATACACAGTTTGAAACTAAATTCAGCCAGAAATTACCAGAAAAAAAAAATTAATCTTTGGGGCACATTTGATTACTTTATAACAAACGGAGGCAGAAAGAAAGACAAAACAGAGCAGTTTGCAAAAGCACAAAGAGGTATGAATCTCAAATCCCCAAATACTCAAACGTATTTCTCTTTAAAGCTTAAATATATCAAATTTTATATTAGAACTTCAGTCTGCAACAGAGGTTCAACAAAACAGTAGTTCTTAATGAAAGTGACTCAAACCGGTTCCTTTACATTCATTTTTAATAAAAGATTTTAAAACTCTACTGCAGACTTGCTATTAATACCAAGCCTGGTATTAATAACAATACCAGACTTGGTATTAATAGTCGATTTTGTCAATTAATACCAACTTGTGCTCAGTGTGTCACGTTACTCTTTGGGGAAGAGCCAAACAACAAGTGGGTTTTCTCTGAGCTTTAAAGGAAAGTTTAGCATGTTGGAAGCTTACGCCAAGTCGTTTGGGTTTGTTTGTTTAACAGCTAACTTTGCTTTGGTAAGCAGACCTCTAAGACCATATTGCTCACTTTGTTTACAGCTCGTTAGCTTGACTGAAGAGCACTTAACACCGTTTCCAAGAACTAGTAACTGCTTGTATGTTATCACAGAGAGTAAAACAGAACGTTCTGTTTTACCACAGGAATTAATTTACGTGAATTTGCCGAACACCTGCTGTCACCTGTTAGCCCCGGGGCAGGTTAGCCTCGCTCGGAAACCTCGCTAACTTCAGACTTACCCAGGTCAACAGCGAGTCGCACAGCTTTGCTTTATCCAGACTCATGCTGCCGAGTGGCGTGAAGCGACAGGCCGACTGGACCTTCGCCGGTTCTGTTGCTCAGGAGTTTGTTTCTCCGGTCCTGACACCTTCCACGTCAGGCCTCTGAGCGCTGCCTCCCGTCCGATTCGCGTTTCACTCCCTCCCTCTGTTATCCACGCGAGCTTCCGTATGAGGACCGTTCCCATGGAAACGGCTTGTGCTACGGGGTCAGCGTGTCTGGTCTCAGTAAATGATGGTAATTTGAGAGTGATGCCGTCGGTTCAGTCAGGTTTGAACGCACTAAAAATGAGGTGGATTTAAACGTTATGTCTTATTTTTACCTGCTTAATTTACCGAGATGTTGTCAATTGAAATATAGAAAAAAAAATCTAATGAAAAAGAAAAATAAATAGGAGCTTTCATTAAGACATTTCGGGTTTACTCTATTTTAAAAATGTATTCATACCCCGGAACTTTTCTACATTTTGTCTTAATTTGCAATATTATGATGAAGTAGCCTGCCGCTACTCTTGAGTAAAATTACTGGCTACTTTATCAAATAAAATTTAGGCCCCTAAATCCCTAAATAAAATTTAATTGACGTTTAGAATGTTACAATCCACTGCAAGAAATGGCTGAAGAGAGAGGAGATGCATAAAAGACCGAAAAAACAACCACATTTCTATTCAGTCAGCAAAAAACGAAATTTCAAGAAAATCTGGATGAGATGGGGATGTTAAAAGACAAAAACATACTCTTTTCATATTCAGATACGTTCTTATTGCCAAATCCAGTGTTTAATTCTTTCCATGTTTTTTTAATTCCCTTAAAGCACCACTGGATGGCTCTAGTTGACAGTGGGTTTATACAGCTGCATGTTGCACAACTTCTATCTATCTATCTATCTATCTATCTATCTATCTATCTATCTATCTATCTATCTATCTATCTATCTATCTATCTATCTATCTATCTATCTATCACATTCAGGAGGATGTACAGAGTTTTTTTATTTTATTTTATTTTATTTTTTAACCAAACTTGACCTTTTAGTTTCCCCAGTTGGGCGGTTAGCTGCATCTGTATCCCCAGTTTTCCTGCTGTCCCTGCGTGAGAACTGATCCCCACAGCATGATGCTACCACCACCTGTCCTGTGTGTTCCTCGGTCTTCATGATGCTGTTTGAGGCTGGATTCACAATGAGGTTTAATAACACTCTGGTGAAGGCTACATGCTAATTAGTCATTCTTTTTTCATTGTGGGATTATCACAATTAGGACTCTGAATATACATCTGACACACAATTTTATTTTTTTGAAAAACAAATAAAAAAAGGAAACATGCATCATTTTCCGTCCACTTCACTCTCTTCTGCTACACTGTGTGGGTCTATTCCAGAAAGTTCTGATGTAATACATATTAAAGCTTATGGCTTTTGGAAGGAGCATGTGTTATAGATAAACTTAAAATGTTTTCATTTTGAAATTCCTGACTGTTTCACAACACTTTGGGATTTCCAGCGTGGCAGACTTTTCACAGGTTTCTGTCAGATTCCTCCCCTCCTGTAATACCAACATGCCGTTCCACACGTACACCCTTTCCACTCCGGTCTCCGTGTCTCACGGTCCACTCCTGCCTCCTTCCTGCAGTCTGAAGTTCCTGTCACAAATCAAACTGCAGTAGCCAATCTCGCTGAAACTCTGCCCACTTCTTTCCTGTTTGCTTTTGCCAAACCCAAAAACCGCAGGTTTGCGCCAAGTCCACCGTGTGATGTGAACACCTGCGTGAGGTGAACTGTCGACCTTGTTTCCTGTCCTTCGCCATCCAAACCGGTCGGGTCAGTTTGTGGCCTAATATCTGGCTTTACCATATTTGTGTGGCTGGAGTTCCTGTTTTTCCAGAAGGTTCTGTAACCCGAGGAATGCAAAGGTTTACCCGATGCGTTTCACCGGATCCAGCTGCAGTGTCTTCAATCTGTCTCTCTAGGTTTGGTGCACTAAAAATGCCCCAAAATTCTTTGAATTGGTTTTATTGTTCGCACACGTTTGGTTATTTTCAGCCAACGACATGTTGGCTGAGTCTCTCACAAACACACACACACACACACACACACACACACACACAAACACAAAAGTGGGGTCCAGAAAGAGCAGTGTCAAAAGAGTGACGGTTCTCAAGTTGGAGCACCCTGAAGGAAGTGAGGTTCGTGATTCCAGGTGGGGGTGGAGGAGTACAGTGGAGAACTTAGTCACTCACTAAGGAGCAGGTCAAGGCTGACTAAGTCCTAAGTGGCGGGAGGTGTGGGAGGGCCACTGGCAAGGCAGAGGCTCACTATTTTTGGCCGGCTACCCCTTCCTCCGGTCTAATTCCTCTTTTCACCCGTTCTCTCTTTCCTTATTCTCCAGATGCGTTTCCTTCCTGAAAGTCGAAAAGCTGCACTTCTCCTCTTTTCCAACCCCTCTCTGACGCACTTGCTTCCCTCTGGGGGGGAACCAGAAGGGTGGAGGTAGCAGGGCCGGCAGCTAAGATTGAGCAATTATATCTTATTTCGAAGTTTGCGGTTTTGTAGTGTGGGGGGAAAAAATGAGGATGGTTCCGCTTTTCTTCTTCTTCTTCTAAAGAAAAAAAAAGAAGAAAACAATTCTTTAAGAGCAAGCTGCAAAGAATCAACGTTTTTCACATCATGATAATGACACCTAAACCACTTGTTTAAGAGATCAATATCTCTCAGTGTGTAGAATGAGGGGTGAGTGTTATGAACTCAAAGCTTTGTCACGATATTTTGTGATGCTGTTGTGATAACGGTAAAGATGATGATAAGAACTATTTATTGCTTTTATTTTTTTAGGTTACTGTATTTGAGACTACATTGCACAACAACAACACAAGTACTAGTCTTGAATAACATAAAGAAGTGTGATTTTTATCACTAATCTGTTCACAATATCTGTATTTTATCACATTTTCAAATTCATTGATATTTATTGATGATTAGTGAATAAACATCAGAGAAAATAGTGAAAATAATCTCGACAGTGCAGGTAGTTTTTTTGGGAGATGTAAACAGCACTTGATTTGTCGTGACAATAACAAATTTTTTTTTTATCATGATAAGAAATGTATCACGATACGATAAATGGTATCGTATCAAGGTTCTCCTAGCAGGATGTCGTCTGCTAAGTAGAAACAACAGCCTCTAAATGTACAAAATGTGGCTTTTGTGTCTGTTAATCAATTTCTCTGATGATTTTGACCATAGGTTATGGATCAATATCCTGCTAACTGACCCCGACAGTGACTCGTTCTCAGTTTACCGGTAGAGGAAAGTCTCACAGCACCCGGCACTTTATCAAAGTTCCATCGACCTTTGGGACGGAAATGCTGGTGGCATCACAGGTCCTCCACCGTACTTCAAAGTGGTGCTTTCTAACATATTCATATTTAGTTTCACACCAAACCCAAGTGGAGCAACGGTTACCTTAAAGTTCAGCCAGATTAGTCTCATCTGACCAAAGCACCTGGTTATAGTCCCAGGAACATTTAGTAACTCCTGGTTTATTGCTCAATAACATGACAGGAAATTGAGGAGTTGCAGCAAATAACCTTGGACTTGAAGTCAAACCTATGATGACTGTGTTACGGAAAACGTTCTTGGAACATGGAGCGCCTGCTTTGCCCACTAAGCCTCTTGCGCTCTGGAAACTCCACATATTTACACTTGTGTTGGTGGGACAGAAAAGATTCTTTGGCATCGCCCACAAATAGCTGGTTGCCGTTAATAAAGTGACTAATGGTTGTTGAGGAGACTTTGGTGATTCGTTAAGTCCACTCTTTTCTAGTACCCCCGTATAGGTTTCCGGAGAAATCTTCATACTGCAAGGCAACAGTAGCTGCGTTTCCACTGATCATATATTTGCAATATTTAAAAATACATTTGCTAAATGGAAACACTCCAATTCCAAAAATATAAAATTTTGTACGCTAAATTCAAGTGTTTATTTTTTTTTGTTTTTTGTTTGGCTGTGTTGAAATTGGTTTATTTCCACAAAATTAAAATGGAAACACTTTTTTCCCCGCATCACACGAGTCACATGATCAACAACCAGATGTTGCCACGAAGCAGAAAACGACAGGAGGCAGCTGCAGCACGATAGCGCCGCAAGTTTCTTAATGACTTATCGCATGAACAAAGTTAATCACGAGATTTTAGTTGCTTTTCTTATTTAATGGAAACACAGCAATTGTGAAATTGTGTTTTTTGTGTGTTTGTTTTACATTAGCAGAATAGCGACAAAGAGACAAAGCTAGCTCTGCACCATGCAGACCCTCAGTTGGCTTGCAGAAAATGTCTAATAGTTATAGCTTTGGTGACCCCTGGTGGTCACTCTTTACTAGTTCTGAGCTTTGGAGCGTTTGTTTCCCTGTGTGTGTGGCTAAGGATAAACTGGGTCTTCCCCCAGATAAGCCTCTGTGTCATGTCATATTCTGTATAAACCCAGTCAAACATAATTTTTTTTTCAATAAATGTATTCAAATTAAAGGATAAAGTTTGAGATGATGCTGTTGCAATTGAATATTAAGTTATTTTAAAGCTTTTTCCAGATTTTTACCAAGGTTGCAGGAAAATGCACACTCTACAGATATCTGTAAACAGATGGTTAAAGAAATGCACCTTACAACAGAAAATTCCCATAAATTTTACATTATTTTCTTCGTTAAATGTGCGAACAAACACCTAAGTTACTGTATTTGGAAAATTTCATTTTAAAGTATGTTCACTTGTGTGTCCAGAAGCACCTGTTTGCAAACTATATAAACATTTTTAAATAGAAGCAAAACTCTTGAAGGTTTTTTAAGATACGTCTTATACTAAAAGACGTATATTAGAGTAGTGGTTCACATGACCCCTAACGTGTTTTTGCAGATCCTTACGGCCTGATCAGGCTCCTCGACTCATCCTTAGACCATTGTTATAAGCATGGCTGATCCCAGACACTTGGAGCTGGAATGTGTTGGCATGCAATTTGTTTCCCAGGTGTCACTGGGGGAAAAAAAAAAAAAAAGGAAAAACAACAAACCCACAGAACAGAGATGGATAGACCACAAAAATAAGCAAGGGCACGCAGCAGGAGGTGAGAAACACCCAGCAGTCTGACTCTAGAGCTCCTTTTCCAGACATGAGGTCACGCATGCAACTACGCTCTGTTCGAACATGCAAAACAAGACGCAAAAAAAAAAAAAGCATGAGATTTACGACCG